TGTGTAGCTGTACTTCTTTTCTATGTAATTTATTCTCAATTTATTCTCTCCAGTTACATTTAAACTAGAAATTGGTGTCATATAAATGAAGCATTTCAAAGACTCTGAGAGGTAGTTTTTATAAAATGTTATTTTAACTATCTTGTAGGAGATAAAAATGAAGAGCCTTCCTCTTTGCATTTGGCCAACATTGCCTTTTCTTCTTAAAAATAGGAAAGAAAACTTGGTGTGGAAGCTTTAAGCTTTAAAACTATAATCATAATTATAGAAAAAAAGTCTCATTTGTTTATACCTCACACAGGAGTTCAAGTATATAATATTGTATCTGCTCAGTTTCTGGTTGGGATCAAATTATAAAAGAAATTCCACGGTGTGCTGGCTATTTAACTATGACATAGAACAATTAATTTGTAAATGTTTCTGAAAACATGGAGGTTATTAAGTCATCTCCTCAAAGATCAAATAAGGTGATCTTTAGGATTCATACTATCTTTAAACATTGGTGCTGTTTTCTTTACACATAAACTCAGTATCTGGGAAATTCAGGATATCTGTAAACACTGTTTTAATTTTTTTTTTATAGAATAGGCTTCTAATAGTCCTTAGGTTTAAAGCTTATTTGTTTTAAAATTCATGGTGCTTCATCCAAAAGCCAGAGAAGATGTATTTTTTACAACATTACACAGAGCATTCACCAGATGGATCACTTCTAGGTTGTAAAACCCACTTTGACAAATTTAGAAGAATAAAAATTTTAGACAGTCTTTTCTCCATGGTTGTGCACACCTGTCATCTGAGCATTCTGGGAGGCTGAGGCAGGAAGATGACAAGTTTGAGCTCTGCCTTGGCAAGGTAGTGACTTAGCAAGATCCTGTCTTGAAAAATATGAAAAGGATGTGTGTGTAAGGGGTGTGGGTGGTGTTGCAGCTCAGTGTCAAGGTTCTGGGTTTAATATCCAGTACTGAAAAACAAAAAGATATGTTTTCAGACTGTGATGGATTTAAACCAGAATTCACAGAAAGTTAACTGGGTTTTTGTTGTTGTTGTTGTTTGTCTGTTTTTCCTGTATGGGGAATTGAACTCATGACCTCGCGCTTGCCAGGCAGGCACTGTGCCACTGAACTAAATCCCCAGCCCCTACAGAAAGATAACTGGAAATCCTCACATATTTGGAAATTAAACAACACACTTCTAAATAGCCCATGGGTGAAAGAAATCAAGTTAGAAAAATATTTTGAATAAAACAGAAATACAGTTAACCAGATTTATGGAAGTTTTTATATAGGAGAAAATAAAGCTATAGAAACAATAACTTGTAAGCTTGCATCTTAGGGAACTAGACAAAGAAGAACATTTTAAACTAAAGCAAGCTGAAGACAAAACAAACAAACCTTGGGGCAGAAATCAATGAAATAAAGAGAAAGGATGACTTAGAGAAAAATTACCAAAACTTAAAGCTAATTTCTTGAAAATGTTGTTAAAGTTCATAAATCTCTAGGCAGGCTAAGAAAAAATAGACAAGACATGAATTACCAATGTCAGAAATTAAAGAAGGTCTGATACTACTCATCATGTGGACATTAAAGAATAGTAAAGGAAAAGTATGAACCACTGTTGACAACCTAGAAGAAAGACACCAACTGCTTGAAACACATAAATTACCAAAGCACACTCAAGGAGAGACAGATAATCTGACTTGCCCTATATCTATTAAAATTTAATAAATCATGAATGATCTTCCAAATATAAGGAAACATGAAGTGTGGATGGTTTCATCAGTAAATTCTAGTAATCATTTAAGGAAGAAATGTTACCCGTTCTCCATGTCTCTTCCAGAAAATGGAAGTGGAAGGAACTTCCTAACTCACTCTGTGAGATCAGTACTACCTTGTACCACAACCAGAAAAAGACATTACATCAAAGGCAAATTGGAGATCAGTGTTTTTATAAATGTAGATATAAAAATTCTTAGAAAAATTGAACCCAACAATGTACAAAAAATTTACAGATGACAATGAAGTGGGGTTTATACCACTTCAGGACTAGCTGAACATGCAAAAACCAAGCGCTGTAACCCACCACCAACCATGTAAGTTAGCAAGGGAAAAGCATTTCATGAAGCTCAGCACCTATTCATGATAAAACTCTGAGAAAAGTAGAAGTAGAGTAGAACTTGCTCATTTTGATAAGGAATATTTGTGAAAAACCTACAGCTAACAGTGGACTGTATCTTAAAGTGATGCATTTTCAAATGAAGGATAACATGATTGATATATGATTTGTCACTTAGTATAGTCTTCAAGTGAATTTCTGTTGTTTCACACATGAATACACCAGTAGCCTGAGGGGAAGGCTTTTGTCACACTTATCACTGCTTAAAAAAAAAACCTGGTATTTACATCAGATGAGTATTATTTTGTCTCTTTTACTTTAAGGGATTGATTTCATGACACAGTTGAAACCGGCCAAGGAAAATACATCCTCACTATTTACTGTTTTGACCTGCTGAGCCTTAACGGTGGAGTCAGTAACTACACATCTATTTGTGGAAACAGAAAGTCGGCAGTATTTTACAATGAGTTGGAGGGAGGGTGCTGACCTTGAAGAGCTCACTTATTTCTGAAATGAATGCCTTCATTTATCTGGCCTCTACCTCCAGCTCTCTGCATGCCCACCACAGAATCACAGAGTGCTTTGTAAGGCACAGCCTCTTTTGATTGAATTATTCACCTTTATAAAAATGTAATATTTGAATAAGTTGCAGATAACTCAGACCACTTGATTTTTATACTATGTGCTCGGTAGATTTATACATTAAAATGTGTAAAGAAAACCACCCTTCATTGTGAAAAGTTATCAGTGTGAAATATCTCCTTTCTGTGCCAGAATTTTTGGCAAAAGAGCTTATTTTGAAAAGATTTTTATTTTGAGACTCCGCCACACCTTCTAGACCCATAATGATATGCTGCAGAAGTATTGCATCATGTAACTCTGAATGCTGTACGTGAGCTACTTTCTATTATTCATGTGAGATATATATTTAATATGAAAAATTCAAAAGAAATGAAATATTTATACCATGAAGGCATCATCCTACTATATCTTTGCAGCTAGCATACAGGGAAGTATGTTTTGAAATCTTGGTACCTATATCTTTCAACTTTTTAAGTGAAATAAAGGAGATCAGGAAACTTTTGGGAAATGAGCACCTAAGATACTGTGGTAATATCATAGTGTCAAGATGACTTGGGTCTAGAACACTGAATTTGGAGGCAGTAGACTTACTTTTTATTTGGTCTGGGCTCTGAGAAGTATTTAGCATAAACCTTTTCATGACCTTTTAAGGGACATTTTATTCCCCTTATCATACATTTATCTAATTTTTCTAATCAGAGATGTAGATTGAGAACAAATTCTTGCAGATGCAAAGTCCCTTCTGTCATATTCCAGTGGGCAAGACAGACAAACAGACAAGCAGTGGAAACGTTCCTCAGACTGCTCCTCCCCTCTATGCTTAGTTATCCGCCGGGAGTAAGGGTGGCGAAGAGAGGGGAGTGGGGATGCCCTGGTGATCTGAAAGAGTGGAACAGCGAGTGGACAAGGAAAATATGACAGGACTGCTGGGTGGGTGAAGGTCCCTTGGAAGCTTGTGGTATGTGCTTGATAGCTGTCCATGAACACGGTCCTGTGCTTTATTCCAAAGGGGAATAGATGCAAAAATAGGTGAAAAGTTGGATTTATCCGAAGTTGGGATTTGGTTCAGTGGTAAAATGAGAAGAATCAAGGATCCGGGAGTTGAGGGATGTTTGTAAAGGAATAGGTTGAAGGTGTTTGAGGATTTTTAAAAGAAATACTTGGTGTTATACTTCTGTGAGCATACAGGAAATAGTGCCTTGGGAGTCAGAGTACACCAGTGAATCTACACACAAGCAAAACCAAAGTGTAAGCCCAGAATAAGAGCTTTTTGTCTCCTTAATGTGGGAATAGTCTAGTGATTGGAGCAAAGGCCTATGTCCTTGGAAAATCTACCAGAATTGACATCAGTTCCCTTCTCCCTGTACTGCAACTTCTACCAAGAACTCAGGCATTTGGTGAAAGACTTGAGTAAATGGATTACTTCTGAATTTTATTCCTGAGTCATGTCGGGGATAGCAACTGTGACGGCAGCCAACTAATTTGAGTGCAACATTTTCTTAAAATGAATCCTATGATCACCAAAATTTCATTCCACACTGAGTTTTCTTTTTGCCCTTAAACTGAGTGGCAGTGGTTGATAT